AAATTGTTATTTCTAAAGTTTATAAAGATTATAATTTAAGATCTAAACTTCAAAAACAAGCTATATTCACAGAGCTTCACTCTCTGATAATCAGCCTCGTTCTGCTTTAGAAAAGTACAAAGTTAAAACAACCAGAGAGCTGAAAGAAGCCTATTAAGTCTGATTGTTAAATAACAGACAGAGAATTGTATAAAAAGTTCCTAAAAATAGCAGAAAACTAACCACTGATAAATATTATAACAAAATTCATCATTCGATCACTTACACAAACTTCCTGCAACTATTGTGTTCACTGTTTGGGTTCTTTAAACGGTTTGTCTTTGTTATACATTAAATAAAATATAAAACATGTAATTTAGTCAGTTTACTGGTAGAAACGGGTTAGGAACAGGTTGGTAACCACTGACTTCAGACTACAGACCTTTTTAGTTGTTAATCCAACTTCAGGGGGGCGACCGGGAGGACTCTATCTGCTGAAGAACATCAAGTGATTCGATCAAAAGCTCCAGAACTGCTACTAAATGAGAAAGAACCGAGTAGTTGTGCTTAAATCTGTTGTTTCCAGTTTGGTTGTGACGACCTGTCGACACTGCAGATTTACAGCTGCTGCTTATTTCAGAGTAACACTGACTTTCTGGCAGCTGCACTTCAAGACTAAAAATACAGACAGTGGATGGAAAAAGCTGAATTTAGATTCTTAACATGAAGTCATCAGAGTTTGAGTAGGAAGCAGTGAGACTGTGCCGGCACTGATGTTCAATCTGCAGCTCTCGGTTGGGGGTCTTTTTTCAGGGCGTATTTTTCTCACTCGGAGGCAGAAGATTTCCCGGCCTCAATAATCCCATTTTAAATTCAATAGCATTAATGTTGGTCCTTTGTACTTAACTGTATCTCAGGGTGCTTTACTTTGTAGTTTTCCTTCAGGGAGACAGAAATAATGCACTACATGGCTTATCAAAGGCACCGATTGATTACTGAACAGGTCAGAAAGGCTCAGGATGTGCATTCTGTGTTGTAGTTCAGTGAACTGACTAAATTACATATTTTATGGATATTTCATATTATATTCAATGCATAACAATGAAACAGTAGAGAACAACTGAAACTGTAAACAGTGAACTCAGTAACTGCAGGAAGTTTGTGTCAATGAAATATTGGATGCATTTTGAGCAGATTATTTCCTGTGAATATTGATCAATATTGATTTTTCTGATATTATAGGAACTTTTTATACAACCCTCTGGCTATTTTATGTATTTTACTTGATATGACAAATTCTGTGTTTTCTTGGTTGTTATAACTGTACTTTTTACTGCAGGACAATGAGATATCCCACTGTGTACATTTTTAAAGTTTCCCCACCTGCCTTTAAATCAAGAAGGCCCTGTGAAGCTTTGTTGATCCTTAGAGGGGGTCCTGAACCCCAGATTGGGAACCACTGTTGTCGTATTTAGTACGATACTGGTGCAGTGCATGTTCAGGCCGCGTCCACTCTCTACTGAACGGACCTATTGCCCGGCTCCCAGAGCTGTTGTTTGTTGGACAGTAAAAAGTTAAATATATATATATATATAATGGCCAATTAATTACTGGTCCAAAATGGGAAATTTATATTATTATAATTTATCAGGATAATTAAATTACAGCTATTTATGTTGCATAGTTCTTATGCAACATTTTTGATAAACTTTATGGTTTATGAAAGTTTTTTTTAATGAACTTTACTAGAAAAAGAAATGGTGTCAGTTAGTTTTGGTTAGAACAGAACTATTGAATATTTATTAATCCATCTTTGATCACTAGATCTCAGATTTTCTTAGCACCAGGTGTGTACAAACTACAGGTTTTTAACTTCTTTATGAAATACAAAAATGTGAAATTATCGGTATCGGCGACGAGAAGCAGCGCAGGTATTGTATCAGCGTAAAGGAAATAATATATTATTATGTATTTTCTTCCACTAATTAAATTACAGTCAATAAATTATCAGTCAAGAACATTGATAATAGTTAGATTTTCTTAGGTCCAAGCTAACTACTTCTTAGACTTTCTTACCCTCATGTACATAAACTATTCAGGTTATGAGCTCCTTTTTTAAAATAGAAAAAGGTGAAATTATCTGCTATGAGAAACAGCTAATTATCAGTTATCGGCTGGAAAAAATCCATATCATTCATCTCTAATGAAAAGAGGGTAAAGAGGTAAAACAACGAGAAACAACACCTCTCGTTTTGTGTCTTGCTCCTGTGTAGGAGGTTGGGGACCTTTCACTTGTTCAGGGGCCAATTGTCTCATAATCCATCCATGCATAAACAGGATTTTAAAATCAGCAACCGAACTGTGGCTCTATCTTCAAAAAAAAAACAAAAAACAAACAAGGTATCTAAAATCACATTAGCGATCCGGTCTGTTTGCTCAGCACGAGATGTTCCAGCACATGAAGTTCTTTTCAACTAAAAGACGAGAGAGTCGGAAAAACCACATCGACCTCAAACTGAGCTGATTGGATTTCAGCTGAAGGCAACTGGAACATTTAGAAAGATGACACACTTTATTATAAAGGTTTCCACATAAAACGTGGATATGGCATACAGTAGGCACAGTCAGTAACCAAGCATACATACTGTGGTGACAGGCAGTCATGGCTTAAAGGACAATATCACTCAAATTTTTAAGCCATCCTGCAGTCGAGAATACTTTCAGTTTCAGGACATAAAACGTTTTCACAGAACCTGACACAAGGATAATAACTAATGAGCGTTTAACATTATCAAGACACAGTTGAGTTTTCCTATTATTCAACATCATAATAAGCATTTTTTTAAAGTAAATTTCACTCTGTTAGAAGTAAAGTGACTTCCTCTGTGGTGCTTTTTATCTCACATCATTGATCAATCTGAGTAGATGGAACCATATTGAGTATTTCAAGTAGCAGAAATAATAATGTTGGAAGGAAATTACATTATTCGGAGCTGGAATTTAGTGCAACACACGATAATGTTTTACTGCCACCATGACAATAAATATTCGATCACTTTCTCGTTAAAATTAATAAAATCCTGTTACAAAGGAATATTTTTCATGTTTGAAGATTATATTTTTCTTTATAAACCAAATTATTCCATTTCATTCACTGGTAATTTATTGTTATATAATAAACATATGGAATCATTTGGTATGACGCAATAATGACAAAAAAATTGTCACCGTAACAAGAAAATATCCAACTTTAACATCTCATAAACTCAACACCTGCTCTTTAACTCCCCCCAGAAACGCTGCTCCATGCCCCCTGTCTCCCCCTTTAGGAGGGGAGGAGGTCTTTCAGCGACCTTGGCTTTACTCTGGACAATAACTTCAGCTTCAATCAGCTCGGACATTTACAGCCACTGTGACAGTGACTTACAGCTATCTGTAAACCCTTTTCTGTTCCTACACTGCAGCATTATTGAGCCAGTTCGTCTGTATAGTGCCATATGTTGTTTCCCAGATGCTTACAATCACCAATAATAAACTTTTAAAGGGTAACTTCTGTGTTTTTGTGTCAAAGTGACTAATGGGGAGCCGTAAAACGGGCGACTGTGCATCATCAAAGTGCGTCCATTAAAAGTGCTTGTTTTTGCTACCGACAGCTCATATTGTTATTGTACAGTGCTGCTTTAAGGTATGTGAACCTCCTGAGCACTGTGGAGTTTTCTACTGTTTTAACATTGTTTCTAACAGGTGTATGTTTATCAATCACGACTACTTTTTTAAAGGAAATGAAATGCGTAGTGAAAAGACTAAATTTAAAAAACGATTGACAAACTTTAAGTGTCTGACAACATTATGTAAAGAAAACGTTGTAGTGTAATCTGTGAAATCTCCTCAGTGGACACCCACGGGACCACCACCGGTCTCCTGAGCATGGCTGACTTGCAGAAGCTAGTTCATTCTCCTCGGATCGTCATCATTGTGTCTTTGTCTTCTGTCCTCCACCACTACAAACTCTTCTCTGCTGGCTTTACTACGCTCACGTTTCCAGTGTTGTCTTCCTGCAACAAGTCACCTCACCTGAGGTGTCACAACACTTTCTAATGGTCATAATTTTGCCCATAAGGATTACATCTTACTCAATACTAAACCAAATTCAGAACTTGTCCTCATGAATCACTCTGACACAAAAAAAAAACCTGGGAGAATAAGGTAGAGGCAGAAAAATACCACAGCAAACACTCACAATCACATAATGAGGCAGACCATCCACTCCATCGGCACTTTACCCCCCATTACTGCTCACTTTAACAAGAGCTTTTCTCCTGCAGCCACAAGAGCTAAGTAACCTACTCTTAAGTTACTAGAGAGCCAGTTTTAGGAGGTGGAGTGGAGTGACCCCTGTAATTAAGTGTCCCTGTAAATCCTGTAGTTTCCTTCCTTGTTTGTGCAACTATGGGAAATAAATTGTACTTTATCTGTCTTAAAATATAAGGTTATACAATTATATGTGACAAAACACAGCATTATAATGAAGTACTGTAGTGCTGCAGAGATCCAGGTATAAGAAAACATCTCTTTCATGGTACAGACCCCAAAAACTCTCACATCATCATGATTTTAAGAGTTTTTAACATTAATCATGAATCATATCACAATCACAACATCTCAGAATAATCACATGCAGCCTTAATAATATATGCTGTTATAACATCAAAAGGATCTTATTAAAACATTATTTTTTTCTGTTTATAACAAGAAACTGAGCAAATATTTACTTGTCATGTTGGCAACATAATTACTGGGCAGATTTCTTCTGTCCAGAGTAGCAGAAGTGAATCCTCTCCTCCTCCCTTGTTTGTATTTTAATACATTATTTATTACTACTTACAGATGTAGATGTGTCGTCCTCTCAGCGCTGGAATGAATCACATTAAAGCAGAGAAAGTCGGGACTCCTCAGCCTTTGAGGTTGACGGGTGTCGATGTGTCAAATATAAACTCGACATACTGAAAAAAGGTTTTGTATGAAACAGGAATGGAAATATGTTCTTGACAACTTAAAAATGACTTTTTGAGAGATCTTATTAACTTGGTGCTGCTGTAAATGTCCTCAGTATGTTGAGGGTTTGAGTGCTATGACTTCTACCACGACAGACAGTACATCCTTTGAGTTTAAGGCATATTGCTACTCAGTGTTGTATGAATGTTTTTGTATCCGTACACGTGTTAAAAAGTACTTTGAAAAGCAGTGTTGAGCTGGTCCGTATTGTGAACCTTTTTACTGATTCACACAGTTCATAGAAGAAGTCAGTGATCCATGACAGGGGGAGTGTGACTGTCAGTTGACTGGATGTAGCTGATCTTTCAAGTTCTGCTCCTCAGGTCGCTGTGGCAGCTAATCCACTGGGACAAATCCACCCGGGCCGCTCACACGCATTCGGATCATGCTTCAGATTCCTGTTAGATGTTTTTTTTTTTTGATGAAGCCTTTTTAAAATGTTCTGGTTGACTTTGACCGCCTTCTACTCATTGATCAGTTGGTGGCTTCGGGTGTTTCCCAGAACAACTCTCATGTTTTATGACTTTTGATAGAGGCATGAGGACTGATGTGAACTTTAAAGGGACAGTCCACCCCAAACATCAAAGATACATATTTTTCCTCTTACCTGTAGTGCTATTTATTTATTTATCTAGATCAGGGGAAGGCAACCCGTGGCTCTTTTTGCCAAACCTAAATAGCAGTGGCAACTACACTTGCCTTTAATGACACTTAGCAGAATGGAAATCCATAAAAGAAAAGTTTTGGAGGAAAATGGAGAATGAAATAGTGCGAGGACAGATCGGTTTGCTTTCACCACCAATGGTGCTGGCTTACTGTTATTTATTAGGTAAAAAGTAAAAAGTATTAGCTTTTGTATTTATCTTTTGTGGCTCCAGACATAAAAAATGGCAAAAACGGCTCTTTTGAAGGTGAAGGTTGCCCCTGATCTAGATTTGTTTTGCTGAGTGTTGTACATACAGAGCTGTAGATAGACTCAATGTCTTTTTCCAGAATTCATAATCCACAAACCTTGTTGGGAGCAGTTTAATGGAGGAACTATTTTCTTTCTACCGAACTACACCCGTCACTGGCCACAAGATACTTATCTTTGTGCATTTCTTTATTTCCCTGGCACAAAAAGTCAATTAAATAACAACCAAAAACATCGGTTATCAGCCAAATTGGTATTTTAAATATTGTTATTGGTATTGAATTTCACAATTGGTGCATCCCTATACGCGACAACTGTATAACTGGAAAGAAGGCAGATATCTCCAAAACTCAGCAACTCACACCAAAAGTATCACTACAGCTAAGAGAAAAAATCTGTGTTTTTGATTTTGGGGTAAACTGCTCCTTTAATGTGCTGCATTAAAGACGTTTAAGGAAACACTCGGTTGCTTGCAGAGAGCTCGATGCCAACATACCCCTCTCGTGCAGCCAGAAGCATTAGCTTAGCTTAGCATAAAGACTGTAAACTAGTGGAAACAGCTAGCCTGGAGTCTCTGCTAGTTTCCTGGCAACTTCCTTAGGGATAAATGGAGTGCTGCCTTCAAAGCTGTATCTGGTTCTTAATAAATCCATGGACACATAGCATTATATGTTAACCCTTTGTTAAACTACTAGGTTTGAGTGAGGACTCGGCTGAAACAAGTATCCAGTCGAGATAATGTACTTTTTATCAAACAGGTAAAAAGAGTTAATATCCGTCCTTGTAATTAGATTTGTCTTGTGAAAAATGTTGCTCTGAAGATCAATACTGAGGCTGTTCTGTACTTTTCTAATAAATATAGCAACTTCTAATCAATCTATATACATTTTCAGGCTTAAATAAACAATGTAGCCCCACCCACTTATGTGTCCGCCCATGGTCGAGTTAAGATCATTTAGTTGGTTGAACAGATATTGATCTGTATTAACTTTTTTTAACTTTGGCTTTTGGACGGATAAAACAAAAAGAAATGCGCCTCTTAATTGGAACCAACTGCTTCCCCCTGTTTTCAGTCTTTGTGCTAAACTAACTGGCTAATGACTGTAGCTTTATACTCAGCGTACAGACATGAGAGTGGTATCAGTCTTCTCTTCTAACTCTCAGCAAGAAAGAGAATAAGTGTATTTCCCAAAATGTCAAAACTGTATAAGAAAGCGAAGATCAATGTCTGATTTTAGACGGTTCCTTTCAGCTGTTTAACATTCTGGTCTGTTGAAGCTTATTCAGGCTTTCTGCATCCAGGGGACATTTTTGCTCTTTCAGGCAGAGCAGGCTCTGGACAAATCCCACGTCGTTCACTGAAACTGGCAGACCGTAACTTCAACCGCGGCTGATATACAGTACTCTCCAAAAAAAAAGAAAAAGAAGTGCTGTACAGACAAACTGAATGTGGTGAAAAGCTCCGACAGGGGAGTTTGTGTCAGTGTGTAGCTGTTTTTTTTTTTTTGCAGCTTCCACCCCAACATCATCATTTTGTTAGGACAGTAATCCCAGAGGATCAAGAAAGTACATCACCAAATGGACCCAGAAATGCAATATATATCCCCAGTAACTGCTTTCTTTAACAGTGTTTGAACGTGTATTTTTTCCTGTCAGCCAGATACCATCAACCATCCACATCCAGCCAGCAGCCCGAAGCTGAGCTGGAAGCCCAAGACTTCCCAATTATAAGTTATATGCTGTTAATCCGAGCAAAACCGAAGTGTTTTCACCCGGCTGAGCTTCATCATGTCCCGGTTCTTTTCCCCCGTAGTGTCCGTGGAGGAGAATCTGGTGTCAGCAGCAGCTGCGGAAACATTTCTTGAAGAATTTCTTGAACTCGGTGTTGAAGATGGTGTAGATGATGGGGTTGAGAGCGCTGTTGACGTAGCCGAGCCAGGTGACAGTGCTCATCAGACCGGGAGGGATGTCGCACGTCAAACACACGGCCCGCGTTGTGTGAACCACGAAGAACGGAGTCCAGCAGAACAAGAAGCAACCTGCAAGAAAATGTGGAAGAGAGTCAGTCATCAAAGTCTGCGTGATGAAGAGGAGGTTACTCAGCATCCTCATGGATCCATATTCTTTACATATGTTTTATAATCTACATGCATCTGTAATTTTCTCATCCGAATCGATGGTCTAAGGACAGAGAATGTGGCCCGCTGTACAGATTGTAAAGCCCTCTTAGGATAATTGTGATTTATGATATCGGGCTGTATAAATAAAACTGATCTGACTTTCAACCGAGACCTTGTTTTCAAACACAAATTGACAGATTCACGACTGCGTGGAGGTTCATTCGTGAGTGGGTGACACAAAATATTGTGACAGGATATTTCACAAAAATGTGATAGTATGTATCTGGGGGTTGTTATTCTCTCAACAATTGTGCCTTTTTGTGCCAATCATACTTGTTTTTGCTGGAAGGAGCAGTGAAATAGCATAAATCAACAATGTGAAGTGTCAGAGGACTCAGAGCTTTAAATGTTTTGCATTGTGACTTTTCTTTACAGGAGCAAAATCATGTCCTTCAATTTATTGTTCTGTGGAAAATGTCACTTCAGCTACATTCAGACTTTTTTAATTGTGTATTTTTCATTTTAATTGCATACGAAGATCAGTTTGCAGAAAACCCAACACGTTTCTTTTTACTTTTTATTTCATTGCAGAGCATTTAGAACCAGAATCTAGAGGAGAAAAATTATTAAAGCACTTTTTATGTCAAAAGGCTACATGAAATCTTCATTGTCAAAGTTTGTTGTAGTTCAAACATTTTATGCATTTAACGGTGAGCTCTGCACACCATACTGTAAACCTGCTGTCAGTGGAAGAAGTACTCAGATCTTATTAAAAAGCAGCAATACCACAGTGTAAAAATACTCTATTACTAGTAAAAGTACTGCATTCATTCCCCTTGAAATCAATGAAACAAGGCAGTAAAAACACTACAGCTTTTGTCCACAGGGGGTGCCCGAATCGACACAGAATTAAAGTTATTAGTAGCTAATTTAAGTAAAAGTACAGTAAAGTATTAGCATCAAAATATGAGTGCTCATTATGCAGAATTGACCATTTAAGAATTCAAATTAATATATTATTAGAATATAATTATTGATACATTAATGTGTTCATCATTTTAATGTTTAATTTAAATTATTTGTTTACCGCTGGGTAAAAATAATACATCCTAATATATTTATTAATTATATTTTGTGTTATAAATCTGCAAAGTAACTAAAGGTATTACATTAATGTAGTGGATTTAAAAAGTAAAATATTTGTTTCTTTAAGGAGTTAAAGTAAATAAAAGTAGCAGAAAAGTAAAATACTCAAGTAATCAAGTAAGACTTTCCTATTTAACACTACAAAGACAGCTTTAGTCTTTTTTTATGAATGTGATTGCTGAACGTGTTAAAAACGAGTCTAAATAAAGATTTGTCTAAATCTTAACAATGTCTCGATGCTTTAGTTCTTCCCTCACAGTCAGCTGTCGATAGATGTGCTGCCGTGTAGAGCCGAGATCAGAGTACACAACATTGTTTGTACATTCTCAGTCTGAAGATTTACTTTTCTGCCTGTAAACTCTGTTTTATAAGTTCAGTTTCTTGTCACCAAACTTCATTTTGCAAGTCACAACACAAAAACACTCAGATGCAGGAGTCAAATGGTGTCAAATGAAACTAAAGCAACGTTTTAAAAAATGTATGGCCTCATTTTAGACTAAGTGAAAGGTTTAAATTCAATAAAAATTACATGCATTTGGATAAATGTTGGAAATAAATGGGAAATAATAAAATAAAATAAAAGTATTGGTTAAGTCGCTTTTACAAGTAATTTTAAATGACACTGACTTCGTTTTTTAAATTACAAACACGTTCCTGAGTCATTCTCATTTAAAATTACTTAAGCTGGAATGTTATTTTTATTTAACTTACAAAATGTGATTAGTTTTACTTCAAAATTTGATTTTGATGTAATCAGTTTGAACAATTATTGTTGAGTTAAATGAACTTATCTGGTTACAAATATCTTCATTTGGGTGGTTTTAACAGCAAATATTGATATATGTGATTGTTTGTGATTTATAGGTATGTATATATCTCTGGCTACCCCATGAATGTCTCCTAGATCCGCCCCTGTTCACAGAACTGTGTAAGCAAATGGAGGATTCAGAAGGGAAACAGGCCAGTAAATGTAACCTCTGACTAACAGACTTTAGAGCTGCTACAGTGAGACAGTCTGCAGCTGTTAGCTGATTCAGGCTGACAGTGTTTGAACTGTCCAAACCCGAGGACCAGACGGGATATCAACACTGGAAGCTTGCAAACACGAAACCGAATACACAATCTCGCAAATGTTAAATAAATAGACTTGCAAGCACAGACTTCACGAATACATTACAGTCATTACCAAAAGTTTGCAGGTTCAAGCTTCAAAAGTTTTGTAAAAGTTTGCAAAACTAATATCAAAGTTTAAAAACTACTTTCAAGCAGATCTTTCTGCGTGAGTTCATATTCTACACTCTGGAAAATCAGTGTCAAACTGAATGTGGGGATATAACTTTAATGGATGACCTGTAACTGTAGGCAGAAAATAAAAACTCATCCATAAAACCATGAAATAGGCTCTATTTTAACACCCCTCCTCACCTCAAAAATAATCCCCTCTCTCCTCCCAACTGATCTCCCATTAGTTTCTACCTTTCAGTGTTTTGTCCCCCCTGAAGATTCAGCTTCAGCAGGAAATGCGTCAAACGAAAGACGATGTGTTTCTCTGTGACACGGCAGATAGTCTAAATGATTCACGACCAAGACTGACTTCATTAGAGACAAAGTAGAAATGTACGACCTGCCGCCTCATCATTTTAACTTGAGACATTACCGCTCGGGGGCGTTCAATACATTTTGGATTTCCTGACTTTTTTTCTCTCCACTCCTTCGCAAGAAAATCATAAATTTCCCAGTTCACAAGTTCACGGAGAGGATGAAGATGCAGAAGCAGAAAAAACAACTTTCATATATAAAAGTGACCACACAAGGACGGAGATCGGACGGTAATCTTGCTTTTGTTGGTCAGTTTAAAAGACTTCAGTGTGTGATTTAAAGGCCCTCCTCAAACTGAAACTAAAGGTCCTTCTCTGGCTGCACAAACACCGCTGAGCTGGAAATGATAACCTACCTTAATAAGCTTAGTTTCCTTGATGAGCGAGGACTATGAATAACTGTGTCACTGAATCAAACTGAGGCCATTTCTCTCAGGTGTCGTCTTACGTGGCGATAAAAACAGATCCAAGTGATTTATTAGCTCTGTGTTGAGAGCTTGATGGATGGGATTTATGTCTTTGTTTCCAGGAGATTGGGGGACTTTGCATAATATGCCACAGTTCTACTGTCAGTGTGGACTTCTTATTCATAAGATGCATTCAGGACAGCTCTGATAATACAGTGTTAAATGTAAGAATTCCTGTCGGTTCTGCTTTCTGTCCCAGTATTTCAGGCACAAAAACATGACAGAAACTTTGCAATGAGACAAATTAATGATGCATTATATTATTTATATAGCACGTTTCATAGCTAATGCAACCCAAAGTTCACAAGCAAAATGACAAAAACAATAAAACAAACTAATAAATGAATTTCATTAGAAAGATTACATTAATTAAAAGTTTTCTGGGTACTACCTGCTATATATGTTATGATTATATTACATAGTCTGTCCACCAGAAAGCGTTGATTAGTTTACTGGAAACGTGGAGCTGAGGGAACTGAACAAAGTGTGACGACCACGCCCTTAATTATTTAATTATGCATAACTTTAAGCCTTAATATATGTTAAACAGCTGAGTTACAGAGCTCTAGAGACTGAAACAGTTTTTGTACCAGGCTGTAAACATGTTTATTTTTGTTGTAAGGTTGAGCATTTTAATACGGGGCTTTATGGAGATTGACTGCTGCCTCCAGTGGCTGTTTGAGGAACTGCATGTTATTGGCTTCATTTTACAGCCATAGAGGCTGCTGCTTGGGTTCTTCGTGTCTTTGTGTGTATCAGCAGCTAATCTCACACACTACTGAACCCACCAGCCTCAAATGGTTTATACACATTTATATCTCTCTCATTGTTGCAGTGATTCAGAATTTTTAGAAACACCCTTTTTACTGACTGATCTGTTTTAAGATTACAAAAACAGGAATATTGTTGTCACTAGGGACAACATACGTTAGTGTCGGTGGACTCTTTTGTTGGTGGAAACACAAGTTGTGGCTTAAACACAATACTGACATTTTATCACCTTATTAAGTTGTTCTAGCAAGCATGTTAGCAAAAGTTATAAATCTATAGTGGACACAGAGCAACATTAGCATTCATATGAAGTCATCTGATGATGAATATTCACTCTTTCTATTCTTTAACCATGTTCACCAGCTAGCATTAACGGTGTCTGTCAGCTGTTTGGTGCTCGACTGTTTATCAGAGCCTTTTCTCTAAAAACTGAGTGAACAAAACCAACCAAAACTCACTATAGCGAGCTGCAGATTCGTGTGATAATCGACTTTGTTGTTTCATACATTGTTATTCTAAAAATATCTATTATGTCATGTCTGCAGTTGACATCTTTTAAGGTTTAAGGATATATTTTTATATATTGTTGCTTCACTCTGCAGAATGAGTCAGAACTCTGTGCTCACCTTAAATCTGCTTTGTTAGACACATAGTGTGACATCTCATTTACATATTTACAATATTTGCATATTCATAAGTTCTGGGTTTCTAATGAGGGAGAAAAGGCAACTGTAAGTTAATTGAACTTCTTTTGTGGGAAAAACGTATCAGATTAATTCAAAGCAGAGTATTTTTGAATGTCTTAAAACGGGTGGAGGTGGTCTCATATTGTTGGTTTTTTATGCTCTTGTGTTATTTACTTCTGTGTTTTTTCCTTGTTGATGAGGTTGACCTTCACATTCAAGGCTTTGAAATCCACATTGAAAGTTTACTGTCACCATAAGTGAGTGTGAATGGTTTTACAGTCTTTACCACTACATGCTACCAGTTTTCACATAAATGTGGCAGTAGTGAATGTACAGTAAACAAATGAGGGCAGAGCCTGTGTGGAGACGGTGTGACTGTAAGAGCATGTGTTGTATAATAATTGGATTGAGGGCTTTAAGCTGTAATGGCGCTGCTTGTTGAGCGGTGGCCAATCAGAGGTAAGGCTTTTATCCCCGCAGTCAAGAGTGACTTGCATGAGCGTCAGCAACCTTACGCCCACCTGTGCAACTCAAACGTTAATTAAACTGTAAAGTGCAAAAGCTAATTAACTGTTTTAAAGCTAGAATCTGTTAACATGTAGAATAAAATTCAGGGAATTAAAAAAAAAATCTAGATTTACGGAGCAGAGATTGAAATAGAAAAGGTGAGTGAGGGAAGTTTGTGTATAATTTATCTTCTAATCCTGTTTGATTAATAGGCACCACACACCCAACAAGCAATATTGGCACAATTACTTACAGCTGCTGCAGTGCCGATTTTAAACAGGGTTGTAATTACCATATTGAACTGTTCAGCACTTAAACACCTCACCTACTGTCAGCAGCAATTTTACTTCCATTTCCTGCTTCAGTGAATAAACAGATAACTGAAATACAAAAGTGGCCGTAATGAAAGGTGCTCAAGCTAGGACTCTTCTGGCACAATGCCCCTCGACAGCAGAGGAAGCGACATTTATAAAAACTTTTATAAGTGCAAAATCATCTTCTACGAGTAAACAAACACAGAAAGGGAATCCTTAAATGAGTTGTTGCTGTTGTTGTATAGTTGCCACTATACAGTTTTCTTAGAAATATGACTGAGAAACAAAAAGAAAGACTCGCTTTACTAGTTTGGCTCTAAAAAATCCATTTCTGTAGATGATAAAGCCCTAAAGACCATTTCAACCAGTAATCACTGTCAGATATTAAACAGAGCCAAAAGCACTCAGACTGACTTTAGCCCTGCTACAGGCAACCAAGAAAGTCTCATTTTTTAGTTTACTTTACAATCTGTTCACACAACAGCAATGGAAAGTTTTTAATATATAAAAATAAAATGTAAAATGCTTCAGAATCGTGAAAAATCTATTTTTTGTCTGTTCTGGGCTATTTGGCGGTCCAACATGGCAGACTCGAGTTAGGTCCTCTAGAGTCGACTTCCTCTGTAGATAAAAACTCATTCTAAGGTAACGACAATAATTATATTTAGATTGATTCCTTCTCTCTAAACTGTTTCTCAAGCTGCTTAAGGAGAATATACGACATAAAATCTGCAGCATATTTCTTTGCATCGCATCGTATCAGGTTGAAACGCATTTTGTTGAATCAGATCGTGTCCAATTGCATTGCATTCGTAGTTGCTTAAATATGTATCGGCTGGTTGGCAGCAGCCTCAGTGATGGAGATGCACATCTGTAGTTTGCTCATTTGCAACTTGGAGAAGCATAATTCTAGTTTGAGCGTACAAAAGAGGCTCCTGCACCAAAGCAGGTCAGCTCCAGAGAGTTTTCCATCCGGGCACTAAGTGAAAGCAGCTGTGAGCTATAAATTCAGTTCAGGTGCTGTAAAGTAGGGACTTGTAGTTCATGATTAAAACACACAAAAACACAGTTATGGTTCTTTAGCGATAATAAGATTGAATTGTCACAGCTGCAGTCCTGTGAGCTCTGATTGGAGAAGAGAGAGAACTCACCTACTACGACAGGTAGCACCCTCATAGCTTTCCTCTCCCTGTTGTTGATCTTGGCTCTCTTCTTCCTGTGCAGCTGATGGCTGAACGTCAGCGTGGGCACTGAGTTCTCTCTGTACTGCCGAGGATAAGGAATCTCCTGCTGAATGTAGTCTCCCGTGTCGTCCAGCCGAGACTGGGCCAAGTCCCTCTCGATGATCCTGGGTAGAGGCATGGGCAGAGGCCCGGGGATGGTGCCTGTCAGCGGGGGGAGGGCGGTGGCGACGGCTGCGTGCTGCAGCTTCCTGCAAGCTTCGATGCTGCTGCGCAGTTTGACCTTCCGGGCCTCCTCCCAGTGCCGCAGCCCGCGGAAAACCCCAAAGTAGAGCAGGACCATGATGGGGCAGGGGATGAAAAAGGAGCAGACTGAGGAATAAACCACGTAGTTGTTGTCCTCTAGTTTGCACTCGCTGGGATCGCGGTCAGGCACGTTGTTGATGCCAAAGATGACAGGGGAGGCCACGGCCAGGGCCAGCAGCCAGGTAGCCGACAGCAGGATGAGCTGACGATGGTCCACATGTTTACGGTTGTAGTTCAGGGGAATGGACACTGCAATGAACCTGCAAGACAAAGGAGGAAGAGTTAAACCTCTAAAGAACATGTTGTAAAATCAGTTACCTACTACTACTTTCTTTCAGTTACTTAATAAATACTAATTATAAGTCCAAATATAACATGATTATTACTCCAGTGTAATCTGAAAGGTTACTTTAAAAAGTTCCAGAAGTCAAAACAAAAAGCTGGCTCATTCTGAACGCATCTACTAATAATATTCATATTTATTTAGTTAAAGAAATAATAAAATAAATAAAGTACATAAGGGCTTCATAGTGCATAGTTCTTCTTTCTAGCTGCCATCTGCTTTTGTTTTTCAGTTTTATTCTTCCTTCAGTGTCAGATTTCTAGCTGGTGTGGAGAATAATTTATTAACATAAAACTATTTTTCTGTTTTATTTCTATAATCAACTAACTGTTGATTGTTTGTGCCGTTGTTGGTAATAATTATATGAGTGTACAAACCACACTACCTGTTTATCTATTCAATTCAATTCAATTTTATTTGTATAGCGGCAATTCATAACAGAAGTTATCTCAGGACACTTTTCAAATAGAGCAGGTCTAGACCGAACTCCTTATAACATTTACAGAGACCCAACAGT